TTTACAGATGAGAGCAGATTCAGTCTGAGTAGCGATTCTCATCGATACTCATCTGGAGAGAGCGGGGAAGCCGCAATCATCCCTCGAACATCATTGAAAGGGACAGGTATGGAGGTGGCGGTGTTCTCGTTTGGGGAGGCATCATGCTTGGTAATCGTACAGACCTTCACATCTTCGACGCAGGTTCAGTCAACGGGACACGTTATTGTAACGAGATTCTTCTTCCATATATGCGTCTTTTTAGAGGCGCTATGGGTCCGCAGTTCCTTTTCATGGACGACAATGCACCATGTCATCGACAGTAGCTGCCGAACAGCTCTTAGAGAGTGAGGATATTGAACGTACGGATTGGCCGGCACGATCTCCGGATCTCAATCCCATCTAGCATGTATGGGATTTTCTAGGCAGACACTTGGCAGCTCGTACCTTACCACCAGTAACGATTTCGGTGCTTCAATCGGCGCTGGAAGACGAATGGGCAGCAGTGCCTCAACAACTCATTGACACCCTCATTCTCAGCATGGGCAGACCCTGTGAAACCTGCCTAGCAGTCAGGGGAGATCATATCCCCTATTAAAGACCGGATGTTTCTTGCTGGACACCCATCACAGGGATGTTTCGGCCTTCAGTCGCATTGCGCTCCATGCTACTGTTTCAATAAAGCTTCTTTTTTATCCCTCTGATTTCTCTTTTAGTAAGTGTTGCTTACATTACTCATGTCCTTACGTATTGGGGATCTTACGGTATTAAATGTGTTGATTTGGAATACTTTTGTACAGAGTTACATTGAAAAAAACTGTCTCGTCCTTAATTTTTGCACACTAGTGTAGTTTATTAAATATTTTAGTTGCTATAGGTGTTTTCAGGGACCTTTTTTTATTTTACATTTTTTGCAATCATATTTTCGTGTATTATGAGATTTTCTCAAGTGCCTTTTGCTACTTACATAAATATATAACATTTAAACGTTATATCATAGTTATATGATAAGGATATTGAAAGATATACATTATAATACTATCGACCGAATCTCGCAAAGCAAATATAGGACAAAATTGTATTTTTGCATGTTACACGCATCCATGAATTATTTGAAAAGAGATACCACAAAAGAGATTCAACGCAAAAGTGAGGATAAGTTATATTGATTTAAAAACTTATGTGCTACAAAAGTGATTCGACGCAAAAGTGAGGATAAATTATAAGAAATATACGTTATCGTTCGGAAAGCAAGCATTCTATGACATGATATTTTTAAGCGTTATTAGCATCCATGCTTTATTCGAACTCGATACACGGAAAATGTTATTCGATCCAAAAGCGAGATAAGTTATAAACATTATAAAAATAAATTATAAGCGTTGCTGACAAAATATAAATATTTACTGAAATTTACAATAATATCGATTTTATTAGTGATTTTACAACACGGGGGTGGCACATCTATATAAAATGTAAAGTTTTAAATTTCTATGAACATTTAAATTTTCTCGGAAACTCTTAAAATTTATTATACATATATATTGAAAATTAATATATCGCAAAAGTGAAAACAATTATCCCTTGTAATAAATAGTAAATACATATTACACGTTTATACAATCAATAGAAATTAAAACTTGGAATATTGTGCAAGAAGGGAAAAAATAAATTCCATTATTCAAAATCAAAGATGTTAAGAAGGGGAACACATGTTTCGTTTTTCTTTTATCCTCTCTCTGTGAATAGAAATAACGTTTTTTCTTAAATCACGAAGAAATGCTTTTGATAAAAAATGCCTTTGATAAGAAACACTTTATCTCGCCGTTTCGTTTCCTTTGGAATATGCATTCCTGATCTCAAGGCAATGAAGAAGAAGTAATGCATCACTAACCCACGAAATCCAGGAATCGTTTCGAATCTTATATATTACTGGTAGAATTTTGCAAATAATATTGAGGTTGATTTCGTCTATTAGAAAATATAAATTATTTGCTCTTGGAAAAGCTTTTATCTGAACAGTTTATAATAAAATGCATATGGAAAGAAATATATATGTGCGTGTGTATTAGAATCAAACTTGGAAATAATCAGCAGCAGGAATTTTGATGGCGTAGAATGGTTGATCCATAATGAATAAGAAACTGGCAGCTGCGGCATATAAAATATTTCATTTTATTTCAGAAAACATGTTGAGGTTACAAACAAAATTTTTTGTGCGTATTTCAGGAGGTTTACGTTTTTGATAACTTTGCAGTAAGAAGTAAGCATTAGGCCTAAGCTAGGCGTTTTAGCTACGTTTGAACGAATTGCCATAGAATGACAACATGATCATAAAATAACTCTGTTTAGATGTTCTTCTTGATCAAGTTCAGATTTTTTATATTTAAAATTTGTTGAATCTTCTTTCGCCATCAGCAGTCTAACATCAGCAACTGACAATCTAAATGTAGTCTGAAGTGCTGCTTCCAGATTCAGATACAATTTAATTAAACGACATGCGGAAATTATTTGTAAGTTCTAAAAGTTCGTACCTGCTTTAGTTTCTAGAATTATAGAAACCGCTAGATTTTTAAAACAATATATTTTGTACTGAATTTCTGCAAAATTTATGCCGTTCGGGTATTTAAGTCCTAAGTTGTTGCCTTTCAATTACCTAAATCCAATAGCATTAATTTTTAAGTCAGTTAGAAATTGATATGTAAAATTCTTGTTTGATTTTTATATGAATACTTCATTTGTGAAATTAAGGTATTTAACACTTCTTTAATTTCTAAAATGAACACATATTGGTTTTGAAAAATTAGTTTTATTATCACTTGATGCCCGATAATCTGATTCATTAAATGTTTTTTCCGGTTCTTTTCAAAGTCTATTAATATGTTTATCTCTAAAGCTAACATTTATAAAAATTGCACTCAGAACAATTTTCTCACAGGTAGTATAAATAAGGACTTCTCTTAAGCGTCTTTCTATTAAACGGTGGATTTGTAGACTTTTACTGTTGTTGTCTTGTCCATATATTTAATGGAAGAATGTTGCTGACAGTTAGATGTAGTTTTGATTGTAAGGATTTTTTTTAATGCAGAATTAAACTCAATCTACGTAGAGTAAAACTTTAAAATTGATTTGTTTCAAAATGATATTATTTTGACCCAGCTGCCACTGGTTTATCCTTTGATTTCTAATATTTTAATAACCGATGTACTTCGATTATATATCACTACAGTTCTTTAACTGACTCTCGATACCCAATGTGCATCCACATTACTTACCTAGAAAACAAGATCGCTTTACTGAAAGTAACACATTTAATTTAACGATTTCTAATTGATAATGTTGGCAAATGTATGTTTATATAGAAAATTGTTTGGGGCAAGTAACCTCTGATGGAATATATCCCGGATATTGATATGAGTTACGGTTTCATTATACGTATAAAAGTTTCAAGAATTTTCTGCATAAATTAATTAATTAATGTCTCAAAATTCCCAAACAACTTACACGAATTTACACGAATTATCCTATGAAGAATACAATATTAACGTAAACGGAACATAATTATATATTAAAATTTCTTGACCTTTCTGTAATCATCTTAAAATGTTTCCATCACTGGTCTCAATTCGATAAGCGCAGCGAATTTCGTAATTTCTTGATTTTTCTTTTCTTCATTTTTAATAGAGTTCAACATATAATCCTTTTTAATATGTTAAGCTAAACTTTCATTTTAAGAGATATTCTTCATTGCGAAAATCCTTCTTAGAACTTTTAAAAATACATTCTGTGCTCCTGTTTTTCAGCCTCATTAGCGGGGGAGTGTTTAAAATACCTAAATACTAGGAGTTCAACCCGGGTTTGAAATCAGGCAAACAAATGTATGGTGATTGGTTGGTTTTCGTGCTTCTCGCATGCGTTTAAATTTCTCTCCACTTTATTTTATTTATTTATTTTTTTATTATTTGGTTAATAGGAACAGAACTCAAAGTAAGAATTTAATCTTTATTCAGTCTTTTTTAGAAGTTAAGTTTTTATTTTTCTCTATACTATTGCTGTATCTGGAGGTCCGTTCGCATAATATATGTTTGTAAATTTCTGTAAAGTCTGTGAAATCTTGTCTTTGAAAGGTGTATTTCTAATATGTACTATTGTAAGTGTATGTTCTGCTTACACTTACAATAGTACATATTTAAGAAATTTGAGTGGGAATTATGTAATTATACCGAGCCATAACGGTTACAATGTAATGTGACATAGCTTCTAATGCGAGGATGCGAGATAATACAACTTAACCTCTTGGTAGATTGGTTTGGTTTATTTAATTATGGCAAGGATCGCTAGGGCTATCTGCCTAAGGGGAGGGATGCCTTCGTGGAGGACTTTCTAAGGGAAACTGGCTCGTATACACGTTACACATGGGGAAAACCACAAAAACACCCATGCAGCCAGCCCGTTCGCGGGATTCGAACCTCGGACCGAACTACCAGTGTTCAGCGACTTTATCGCTCGGCCGCTGGTGGGCCACCTCTTGGTAGAATGATGGTGCCTCCGTCTCCCGTCAACTGTCCACTTTCACTTAGAACTTCCTCCACGAAGGCGTTTTATGCCTTAGGAGGGGGGAACTCAACCTAGAGGAAATTACAGCATGTGTTGCTATGCATCATTTTAATTTATTTCATTTATAATTCTATAATTTCCGACAGATTTTGTTGTGCATCTGTACTGAACAAATATAAATTTTTGATAATTAAATAAGGTTAAAAGATTATGGATTTATGTTTAGCAATAATTAAACAACATATAATATTCTTAATTTTTTAAGTTAAAAATTCTTTCATAGATAAAATATATTTTTAAAAAACAAAACAATCAGTTATTGGAAATGTTGCATTTGATTTTCAAATTCATTGTAATCAGAGACTCAAAGCTTGCGATATTTGACATTGTAAGTTCGAATTTTCAAAAATTCTGTTCTGAGAGTTTTTTAAATAATTGATTAATTATATAAATTTTTATTTCAGGTAACCCTTACCATTGTGATTGCGATGTGTTGTGGTTCCGTGACTGGCTTCTTTACAAAGGGCAGAACGTAGCCAACCTTCCAAAAGAAACACGTTGCAAGGCACCAGAAGAACATGCGCAAAAGCCCATCGTCAAACTCACTAATAGTAGCTTTGTTTGCTCTAGTGCTAATGGTGACTCGAGCAAACCGACCAATAACATCGGAGTTTTTTCATTATTCTTCCTGTCTATTTTCATGTTTTTTATGTGTAGATAATACATGACCGTGAACTGCTTGAAGTTTCTACATCTGCGATTTTATTTTTTTCAGCTTATTTGTTATGATTGTGCAAATGTACTGAGTATTCAAAAATCGTATTAGTGTATTTCTTTGGACTTTGATAGGAGATAAAGAAGAAATGTTATCAAAAGGAATTTGATTTATCGACGCAGTTCTAAACATTGGCATAAGTACATTTGTGTATAATATTCATTAATAATTAAATACTCAATCGATTTGTACGATATTCTGTAATACTCCATGAATTCATTAACAAAACAATATTCGTATTTTTTGTAAATTGAAAAGGCATTTATGGATAGCAAATATCATTCAGTATGAAAATATTTTGAAATTGTAGATTAACAAAATGTTATCCTAATTTCAGTTTAAAACTGCATAATGTATTTGATATTTAAGATCAAAATAAATAAAAATGTCATTTGCATTTTCTTTAAGTTTTTTTATTATATTCCCCGTCTGAATATATGTATTTGCACAAAATTTACATATTTAAAAAGTGCTTTCATAAAAATCTTCCTGAAATAAATAATAACTTGCAGCTAGTGATCCTGAAAAATAAGGTTTGCTAAAGCTCCTACGTTCCATGTAAATCGTGTAGCAAAATAAGCGTATGAAGGAACTCCTACTATATAATTTGCGCTCAAATGTAAAAACTTAAGTATCAAACAATGTAAATGCTTTTTAGCTTTTTTCCCCTCAATTTTACATCTTATTTTACTTATACTTAGGAATTTTTTCGGTATTCATATTTTGCAGTAATGATAAATTAATTATTATTATTATTGTTTAATAAATTCATATTATTTGTTTGCAGAATCAAAAGCTGAATCATTGAGACAAATTCTACAGCTATCAACATTAAATTTTAATCAACACATATAGTATTTAACTCAAAGTTTAGTGACGTAAGCATTGAAAAAGTATAGACAGGAGATTAGATTTGAAATTCAAAGATTGATATATCATATGCCTTTTCATATGCTCATATATTATTATGTCTCACTCATAAAAGTAAAAAATAAAAATTCAGTGATGTGTTGATAAAATTTTTGTTCTACTTTGTACCAGTTAATTTTTGCTACATACCTGACTTCTTGAACAAAATTAAGATGCTTTCAAAATTAAAAAAAAAAAAAAAAAAAAAACGCACACCATCTTTTTATACTTTTTATTGTCGTATTAACTTCAAATGGCAATGAGTATAACTTAACGCGGAATTGATGTAGCAGTTCAAAGTTATTTTGTTTCCTCTTGCTTCGTGACCGTTTAAAAGTATCTTGATAGTAAAGTACTGTTAAGTAAATTGAATAGTTATCAAACATTAATTAAAAAGGATTTTTAAGAAATTTAAAATTACTTTAAAATATACATCTCATTTCTTTCTCTTGGGGAAAGGAAAGAAATAAAATGGTGAAATATCTATTTTTATTAAGTTTTTAAAAAATATCAATGACTAAGAGAATGATGTAAGTATTAAAATTGTCAAAGCATTTTTTTTTAACTTTTAAGACTATGAAATTCACTATTTTCATTGTTTTCGGAGTTAAGTGATACTTAATAATGACTGCAAAATTATTTGAATGTAATTTCCACATTGTTTCTCACACTTAATTACGTGTTGTGTTCAGAAAGGAAAAATTTTAAAGTGTTGTTTTTTCCCCCACTTTTAAAAAGTAACTGCTAGAAATATAATTATTTAAAATCATTTCTTGTAATCAAAATATATTTTTAAGTCTTTTTTAATTATAATTTATTGTTACTGAAAAAATGAAATTATATTATTGATTATAAAAATTGTATTTTAGAAGCACAATTCTTTTTTCAGAAAATGTGTTAAATGTTCACATCTTTCTCAAATAAATTATCATCATCTGACTTTTATATCGACCAAAAAAATCTTAATTTAATAATTTTCATTTGATTATGATAACATATTACTGTTTAATTTGCATCATCATGGATTCGAAGCCTCACAATTGCATTTTCTATGTGAATTTAAATAGAATTGCAAGTGCATATTTCTAGAAATAACTTTAATTTATTTAGAGCAAATAAAGTGAAACAAAGATATGTTAAAATATATATAAAACTATTAAGTTTTTGTTTTCTCCTGTACAGTCATATACGAAATTTCGTTCAGTGTTGTGACAATTTGCAAACAAATTTGTATTACAAGCAGCTTTGAGCTTTTTCTTGCACAAGATTTTCTGTATAGGAGTAATAAATGTGTGTTCTGTCTTAATGTATAAATGTGTTAAATCAAATACGTCATTAAATTGTACATATCGAATCACGTGAAATGAATTGTACCGCGGATTGTATAACACGTGATACTATGTTTTTTTATATTTTATCACTTTTATGTATATAAATGAATATATATATATATATATAATAAATAAACATATCCTTGTTGTATCATTAGCAATAAAACTGTGCCCTCACGGCTTCAAATGATTCTTTATATGATAATCAGAAAAATTATAACAGGGACTTCATAAAGGTTTCAATGAAAACATGTTTAAAATTTTTAGCATAAACTTGAGATGACATTTGTTAAATTCAGAACATTTCTCGATTACTTCTCACTGTTATTTGCCAGAAAGAAACTGCATTCATGACTACAAATATTTTAAACACATTTAGCCACAAGAAAAATTAAACAGAAGGAGAAAAGAAAACAAAAATAAATAAATAAATAAATAAATAAAAAATCTTAAATGTTTCAGATTTTAAATTACGTCCAAAGGGGCGTTTTTTAACATTTTGGGTGTTACCTTTCTTTATTAAATATCATGTTCCTCGCACTTAAACCCTAAGATCCAGTGCAACAGCAATATCGCAAAATAGTTTTAAAACGAGCATATCTTTAGAATTTCCGATACAGAGACTCACGCGCTGGAGATAAAAATGTTTTTTGCACAACGTTGCCATTGCTCGCTTTGAAATCCTTGAGTTTGTTAATCAAAAATTCGTCAAAGTTTTAAAAAATAGGAAATCGATCATAAAACAAATTTCAAATTTCAAATTTGGTCTTCCACATGCTCATATTCGTTGGAGGATTACGTTATTCAAAATTCGATGACTCTATGTACCGTTGTTTTATCACAATACGAGAAATATACATACATTTATGCAGATTTTTCATTTAATTTCTTCAAAATATAATGCAGGACTCTAACATTTTTGGCAACAGTTTGAAAAGTGAACCGACATTTATGAGTCCGACGCAAAATGCCAAAACGAAACTAATAGTGCTTCGGGATTCAAATCCCTTTGACTAATAAATAAAAAATAAATTAAAATAAAAAATTAAATTAAATAAAAATCTGAGAGCTTTCAGATTTTATAATACTCCCAAAGGGGCGTATCTTTTCATCTACACATACATACAGTTTAGAGAGCGTTTGGACAAATATTTAAAAACAGCATATGTTTAGAATTTCCGATAGACAGACTTACGAGCTGGAGATAAGAATGTTCTTTTTTTCGTACGGTGTTGCTATTTTTAGCTTTGAAATCACTGAGTTTATTAATAAAAAATTCGTGAAAGTATACAAAATATGAAATAGTTGAATATTTTTTAATTAAAAAAATCTGAAAAGTTTCAGATTTTAAATTACGTCAATAGGGGCGTTTTTTAACGTTTTGTGTGTTACCTTTATTTAGTAAATATTATGTCCTTTGCACTTAAACCATAAAATTCAGTTCAACAGCAATGTCACAAAATAATTTTAAAATGAGCGTATCTTTAGAATTTTCGATACACAATCTCACGCGCTGGAGATAAAAATGTCCCCCTCCGGTAGATTGCTCGCTTTTAAATCGTCGAGTTTGTTATTCAAAAATTTGTTAAAGTTTTACAAAATATGAAATCGATAAAAAACAAATTCCAAATTTGATCTTTCACATGCCCATATTCGTAGGAGGACTACGTCATTCAAAATTCGATGGCTCTATGTATCGTTGTTTCATCACAATGCGAGACATATACATACATTTATGCAGATGATTTTTCATTATATAATTTCTTCAAATAAAAAAACAGGACTCTAATATTTGGTGGCAGCAGTTTGAAAAGTAAAACGGACATTTATAGTGATTCAAGGCAAAATCGCAAAACGAAAACAATAGTTCTTCAGGGACACAGCCCCTTTGGACTAATAATAAAACAAATTCGAAATTAAGATTAGGGCTTCCAGATGCCCATATTCAGATGAAGGACTATGTTATTTAGAATTTGATGAGATAGTTATGGGTGTTTTTTCACAATGCGAGAACCAATGAATACATTACTGCAGATTCTTCATTATTTAATTTCTTTAAATATAATACAGGGCGGTTATATTTGATGCAAACAATTTGTACAGTAATACACCTGGTTATAGTAATTCGAAGCAAAATGTTGTTTCGAGACTAATAGCCTTTCTTCGATCGGGGCTTTGAAAAAAAGTTAAGCTAGGATAGAGTACAATTTTGTGTTCTTTTCCATCTGTAGAAAAAGGAAAAAGTCATACATTGCTTTATTTTGTTTTTGATAAATCATATCATTTCCGTTTAAATTTACCAGAATAAATCTTGTGGTTAATATGGCTGAGTATTAATATACACTATATACATATTTCAAATGTATATATTAACATCCAATTGTTATAAAATATACTTCCTTTTAAAGCATGTCCTATTAACATGTTTCGATATCATTATTTTGCAGCTATTTATTAAAAGCAAAGTGCTTGATAGAAATACTTATTACAAGTTAAAACTTCATTGGCTCTTTTTTAGCAATTTAATTCGCTACGGATTGTAGAATTGGCCTGGTATTACTTATCTGGTTAAACTTCGCACACTTAATTATTCTTCAAAATGATTTATATTCAGAATTAATTTTGGCCGGAAACAAATTATGTTTTTATTTTGTTGTAAAATAAAATATTTGCAGCTCTCCTAAACAGGCATATGTCAATAAACTTGGAATGAGAATTGGAACGTAATCTCTTCATCATACTTTTTCAGTTTCAAAACAATTCTCTTTAAAGCAACAGAAATTTGATTCATCCATTATTCACGAACTCGAATTTTCAAAACTATTTTTACAGTAAGTACATTGAACTTATCAAAAAATAATAATGATAGCTAAATAAAAGAAATTGATAAAAATTTTAAATGAAGGTGAGTCATGTGCCGTAACAACATCAGGTAACTGCGTTCCTGCATTCTTTGGCTTTTCAAGCTCGTTGCTAACATACCACATATTTTGGGTGAAAGGTGGTGGTATTCATTAACAATTTAATTCGCTACGGATTGTAGAATTGGCCTGGTATTACTTATATGGTTAAACTTCGCGCACTTAATTATTCTTCAAAATGATTTATATTCAGAATTAATTTTGGCCGGAAACAAATTATGTTTTTATTTTGTTGTAAAATAAAATATGTGCAGCTCTCCTAAACAGGCACATGTCAATAAACTTGGAATGAGAATTGGAACGTAATCTCTTCATCAGCCTTTTTTCAGTTTCAAAACAATTCTCTTTAAAGCAACAGAAATTTGATTCATCCATTATTCACGAACTTGTCCTCACGAACTCGAATTTTCAAAAACTATTTTTACAGTAAGTACAATTGAACTTATGAAAAAATAATAATGATAGCTAAATAAAAGAAATTGATAAAAATTTTAAATGAAGGTGAGTCATGTGCCGTAACAACATAAAGTAACTGCGTTCCTGCATTCTTTGTCTTTTCAAGCCCGTTGCTAACATACCACATGTTTTGGGTGAAAGGTGGTGGTATTCATTAATCACATTCCACAGTGAACTGATGTTGGCGAACTTTTCGAAATTTTCTAAAATAAAATTGATGTTATGACTCACTAAGTTAGCACTCCTGTTAACAAGATCTTTGTTAGGGTGCTACACCTCACAATCTTAATGTCGTTTTGACACCGTGCTGAAAAAAATCATTGATTTGAATAGTGGCAAGGATTACAGCTGCTCTCGTTCTCTCTTTCTTCTCTGGAGACATTTCTGTCAGAAGTTCTCTGCGCCGCTTTTTGTCGAGCTGCTGAAGGTCTTCTGACTTCAACTCAGTCCTGTGAGTATCCACTAACTCGTTGATATCTTTTCTGACGACTACGAAAATTATGAGTAGGCTGAAAGAACAATATCAGGAACAAAAATGTACTTCTTCAAAGCTTTCAAAGTCTCTAAGAGTTAGGTCCCAATCACATTATGTTTCGGCTACGCGGGACTTGATGTCGAAAGGAACAATTCTCAGAACCCGCACAATTCCAGGAAACACACGAAGCTAGGTTACCAGTCTCCCTAACTACAAAGCTTTAAACGCCAAACAATAATCGATTATCGCTCAAATTTGTATCACGTGATGCTTCAGAAGCAGAACTTTCGTCTGATTGGTTGTCTCTACCCGTTACCCGAGACATTTTCTGTGAGGTATGTAAAAAATCCCGCTTAGCCGCAACATTGCTTCCGTAGCTAAGCGGGACTTCCATTCCAGCGGGGCTCTTTTTTCTAGGAATCCTCCTATTTAAACCAGTGCTAACAGAATCTCGTTTCACAGAAAATTCCCGTCTAGCAGGGACTGTAGCCAGTGATAACCTCTTAATATATTTAGACAGGAGATTTTTCCTGGCAGAGTTTATTGTCTTTGAAAACACTTCAATCTTAGACTATTAAGGACTTTGTAGTAATCCTTTCGATATGTGAGATTTAGTTCAGTTTCATTTGCATGTTCAAGCATTTCTTGACCATAAATTTGGTGTACATTTTATTTTATTATTCGAGGGCACCTGCTGGTGCACAGGTTAGATAAAAGAAGTGGTGTTTACATTCGATATTTGCATAACATTAATTGAATTTTAATGCTAATGTTCTTAGTAAAGTTTGGTGGAATCTTGTGAATGATAAATGAGAACAGATTTGATCTTCATTCTACGTCTATCACTATTGTTAGCAAGAGATTAAAGAGTTCATTCATTGGCTTATGGTAAAGACTTTCTTTCCTTGTAGGCATACGTTTGATTAGGTATTCTCATCGAAAATAAGCCTGTTTCTTCACAACTGAAAACTTGGTTCAAAAGATATACCTTGACCTTTTGACTGCTAACTGCTATAAATTGAAGCGCTTCGAGTGAGTGGCGGGCAGTCACAGAATGATTGACCAAATAAACGATATTTCATTTTCTTCTCGTTGCTAAGCAACAGATTAAGTATGACGTTTCTGTGAGTATTCAACATATAGGATAGAAATAACTTTCGAACATATACATGACACTACAGTAAACAGCCCAAAAAAATCTTTGCAAACATTACTGTTGTTTCAAAATTAGAAATGGCAGCCTGTTTATGCATAAGAACGCAATGAATTTGAAATGTTTTCTTAAAGTTCCCGAATACTTGTTGGCTTCTCCTTTTAAGCATAACACCT